AGCAGTTAAGTAAAAGTCGATATATAGTCAGTTTTATGATATTTGCCAACAAGATTGATAAACACAGTTTTCTTTTTTTTAACACAAATATATTTTAATATACAAACAACAATACAAGTTACAATAATAGTTATTTCAAATAGTTATCACAAACAATGATTTGCAAACAAAAGTTTTACAAACTTGCAAACTTTCTAGTCTGGAACTTTTTTGATATCTTATCGAAGGTTCACGATGAGCGAGTTAATTACGTGTTTACGTAGGTATAATTCACTTAACAGGGAGCTAGCTAGTTTTGTCCTTCTTTATTCACCAGCCACACACACCGAGTTTTCCACGAGGGATTTATATAATGTTTTCGTAAAAATACTAATGTCCGATGACAATCCACTGAAGTTAAATAAAGGATGAAGTAAATTAAAAGACAAACAAATAAACAAAGAATATGATAATGCAACAATATTATACAAGTATTATTCAAGTCAGAAGACAACGGCCAATTATCTTCGTGGTAGAGTCATACTGAGTTGAACCAACAAGCAGCGTATCTGGACAGGAGACAATAGATAAGTATCTGACACTCTTCCTACAGGACCACAAAACTTATGAACTACATGCCACCATCACCCATTTTCAGATGGCAAATGAGATTACCATTAGACCTCCTCTATACGCTAGGCCTGATGAGCAAACTTACACCGAGTGCACCATTCAGTTGAGGAATACCGATGACGCTGTCTACAAGTTTGTATGCGAGAATATGTAAAATCAACTATTAACTAGCTAAATATAAGGTGTTATGTTAGTAGTAACAAATACGAGTCTTACCTTTGTAATATGGTGTGATTATACAGTCCAAAGAAAGATAAAACGGCATGGGCATGTTTTAGATATAGAGCTAATGGCGTAAGGCCTGTATGCAATTGGAAAGAGGATTAATGCTTTGATGTAACATAAATAGTACGAACGTCAAGCCAAAATCTGACCAACTCTCAAAGTAGTATGAAAAAAAAAAAGGCTGTTGCTTATTTAAGGAAACAATTAAGATTTTTCTAGCAATGAAAAATTATTAAAGCCAGATATAGAACCTTCCAAATTTCAACTTCTAGTAAGCAAATGAGCTAATGCTACCAAGGCGAAAGAGACTTACAGAAACTAAGACTCAGAAGAAGATGTGGCTGGAGTAAACAACAGTTCTGATAATAGTTGGAAAAGACTACCAGGAAACAGACGCTTATTAGAAAAATAAAAGTTATGGTGATTACTTGTCTGTAGAAATCTGTTTTGTATTTCTGCTAGAAATATGAAGGCATATAAATGTTAAAATTCACCAGAAAAATATCAGAAGAAGAAGATCTGTGTGTGTTGAATATCGCTCAAAGCTACTCGAGGGTTATCCGCGCTATCCATCCTTAAGTTAGAAATGATAGACAAGAGGGAAGTCCTAACCCACCACTAAATCTTGGGTAATTCTTTACGAACAAATAGTGGGATTTACCGTCACATTATAAAGCCTTCACGGTTAAAAAGGCGAGTATGTTCGGTGGTGGAATTCGACCCCGCACCTCACGGAATGTCTATAACATTAACAACTAGGCCCTAGGAGGAACAAAAAGAACGTTGACTCTGACTACATACTATTCGTACTCTATACTATTTGGACAGCAGCAAGTTTCAGGACTTACAAGGATAAAATCCGGGGTTCTATTCCCCGCGGTGGACACAGAAGATAGACAATGTGACTTTGTTCTAAAACGAACAAACAAAAAAACTATACTTTTGTAATCCAGTGCTAGAAAATAGATTTTGCACATCACAATAATTAAAGATATGTATTGGAAATGTTTGATTATTTCAGAAGTTCGTTTGGAACAACAGCTTCAAGAACTATGTGATGAATGAAAGCACAGTCAACATTACTGCATTGGACTGCTCCATACAGCTAACCAACCATAAACATTACTTTAATGCTTATTACAACCCTTTGCATATCAAACCTCTCTGATCAAAATTATATAAAAATTGAAAAAGTAAAAAGATTCCATCTGAAAGCGCCCAGACTATTGTTATTGTAATTGATTTATTATTGATCAATTTTGATTTCTTCGTATCATGAATATAAATAACAGGATTAGGGTAATTAATACGGAAAGCTTCTGTAAATTGCTTCTGTAAATAAAAGACTAATTAATAGAAAATAGCTTAAAAGATTAATGTATCAAAAGGTTTACAATAACAGTAAGTTTTTACGAGGAATATACGTACAACTTTAAGCTGGAGTTGATTACTGAAATAGAATCTAATTAGAAAAGTAATGTCATAGAGCAAAAGTTTTTGAAAAATGATATAAAAACGACTTTAAACGATGGGGCCGTGATAAAAATTCTGAGTCATTGTTCTTGTCCAATCATAAATTGAAACTGCAAAATGATCCTGTGAGTAGAAAAAAAAAGACTAATTCTAAAAATAAGAAATCATGGAATAAGCTGTTTTTAAAGTTATCTAGTGATTAAAGTTTGACTTGTTTAACAAAGCATCCAAAATGAGTGAATATTTATGACCTTGTGTTATTTTGAATTAAGTATTTTTAGTTAAATTGAATATTCCAATTAAATGAAATATTATAGTTAAATTGACTATTCGAGTTAAATTGAATATTCTAGTTAAATTATATATTCCAGTTAAATGGAACATTCCGGTTAAATTAAATATTCTAATGAAATTGGATATTTCAGTTAAATAAAGTATTCCAGTTAAATTGAATGTTCCAATTTCTAAATACAAAAAAAAATATATATATAAAATGTAATTTATAATTTTATTATTTTTTGTAATAAGTTAATAATTCTCTTAAATATATGCATAGTACTGTCAGTTATGGTTTGTGTTTTAGCGGAACGCTCCTGAAAAAGCTGTAAAGCCAAACGTTGAATGTCCAATTAAAGAAAAATAACAGATTTGGTGTTAGAAGGTTGTTTATTACTAATATTGAAAGGCCCGGCATGGCCAGGTGGTTAGGGCACTAGACTCGAAATCTGAGGGTCGCGGGTTCGAATCCCCGTCCCACCAAACATGCTCGCCCTTTCAGCCTTGGGGGCGTTATAATGTGACGGTCAATCCCACTATTCGTTGGTAAAAGAGTAGCCCAAAAGTCTTACACTGCTAAATTAGGGACGGCTAGCGCAGATAGCCCTCGTGTAGCTTTGCGCGAAATTCAAAAACAAACAATACAAATATTAAAATGTATTTTATACACCAAAAAGCATTTCGTAAATTAAATAATTATAACTTTTCTCAGCTGTTTAATATTCTTTAGGTTACATTGCTTTTATTCAACTTTCAACAACCTTGAATTGAAATTCATTCTTCTTCTGTAGCGAGCGGATTTACTACATGTTGTTACCAACGTAATGAATATGCACACCAAAACGATTTTATAGCGGCGCACGTAGATAAGATAACGACAGAATGTAATACCATGTGCGATTTGTTTGCTTACCCGATATTCAGACTTCTTCGCTGCTTCAATTTCCCGTTCCTTTCGCATGCTATTAACTCGGTAACCTACGTCATAAAATTTCCACTTACTGACTTTGTTAAGGCAGATTGCCTCAGCATAATGTACTGCCGCTCTTGATAAGCGTTAACATGTTCGTTTCTGTGCACAGGATGGTGAAATTAATTACGTATGCAATACCGCCTTGCATAGCCAACATGCCATGCATTATTTAGGAAAACTTGTTCAATTGTAAACAATGAAAATACTCCAAGATTTTTAACATCAAAAACAACACCCAGTGCGTATAAATACAGGTTTAGAACTCAAAACATTGAGGTTCGATAACCGCGATGGCCATGGCGCATATAGCCCTTTTTGTAGTTTTGTGCTTAAAAACAAGCAAACATTATATAACATGTTTATTAAATTTTTTTATCTTTAAAATTAGCACCAAACTTTCGACTGGATATGGAAAATCTGCACATAGTAACAAGAAATGATTTTATTACAAGCCAATAAGTTTTATCCACGGAAGCTGTGTGGAATATTAACCTTTCAAAGGTTATTTATATTCTCAGTTTACGTGCATAGAAAAATCTAAGTTCACTCTAACGTTAAATGAAAAAAAACAAAAAACCCATCTATCCCTGAGGACTGTCATTCTAACAATAAAAGTTTTACGGCGAACGTTGTGAAAATCTATACTTTGACAAGGAGACAACCTTAAAGTTTTGATTATTATTTTCAGTGCTTTGCAGAGCAAACTCTCGAATTAAAAAAAGAAAAAGAACAAAAACAGGGTTCTCAGTATCTAGTCCTCAGTGGCTCAGCGGTAAGTGTGAAGGTTTATAAAGCTAACAACCGGGTTTCGATACTCGTGGTGGGCGTAACACAGATAGCTTTCAAAACAAACTCAACGTCTATAAAATGAAAATTACAGTACTTACTTTACGATTTTATAAGAGCCAACCATCTTTTTTTCTATACTCCGGTTGAAAATTCGTAGTATAAAAGCAATATTAAGATACAAGTTTATCTTTCAGTTAAAAAATATGTTACATAATACTGCATTTTTACACTCAAGATTCATAATCGGGAATATGCTATAAGCACTCAAAGTGATAGTGACAAACACAGAGCTTTCTTCGTGGTTCAACTGATGCTAACGTGAATTATCTCCCAGTTAGAATTAAATATATATTTAGATTGTTTCCAAGAATGGAGTAAGATTGTGAAAATTTTTGTCGAAATGTTCAACATTCCCATTTTTTGTGGGTCCTAATGCTACTAAAATTATGTCGATATCATTTTTAGTTAGTTTTGAATTTCGCGCAAAGCTACACGAGGGCTATATGCGCTAGCCGTCCCTAATCTAGCAGTGTAAGACTAGAGGGGGCCGCCAACTCTTTTACCAAAGATTAGTGGGATTGACCTTCACATTATAACGCCCCCACGGCTGAAAGGGTGAGCATAACGGGGATTCGAACCCGCGACCCGCAGATTGGGTTACGATTAGTGTGATTGACCTTCACATTATAACTCCCCCACGGCTGAAAGGGCGAGCATATAGGGGAATCGAACCCGCGACCCGCAGATTGCCAGTCGAGTGCCCTAACCATCTGGCCATACCGGGCCCTGTTTTTTTAGACTTACCTTGTAATAATATGTTTGTAAATTCTGCTTATTCTAGTCCTACTGATGCCTGGAGTTTAACCTGCTTAGTTTCGAGTTAGGGTTCTGGTGTTTCATACTTTTGCTCTTAAGGTTTCAACTAACTTTTATATTCCAGGATGGGTGAAAGATATATATATATTTACGGCATAAGACTTCTGTGAATCAGTATAATTTACTCAACGACAAAAAAATAATAACTTGTTAGTTAATTGTCGGCATCTTTTTATGTTACAGAAAATTAGCAGTAATAATCCTATAACCTCTGCGTCGGAAGAAAGTTAATAACTATCATAAATGTATTGTTGCTTAAAAGTAGCAAAAACAGGTGTAATTATTTAATATGAAACATATTTAAGACAGATAAAAAAAGCATTTTCTCTATTTCGTATTCTATAATCTAATTTATTTTCAATCTTTAGAAAAAAATATTTAAAAAAAGATTGGAAATCTCAGCGATCACACTACTAAAATTACTGTGTCTGACCTTTGCTAAAAATCAGATGACGAGGAACCCACTTTGAGACTAATAATGGTTGGAGACGGCTTGAATGGGTAATGTAGAAAAACTTTACTATAAGTTTAACATAACAGCAAATGTACAACGTTTCGACAAGATTTTGTCGTCATTATCATGCTAAAAATTTTATCTTAATTGATAAAAAGGAATCATCCATGAATTTCAAACTATGCAACACAGTGAGGACCAGTAAAATTACTACCCGACCTTTACAAAACATGCTATCAACTACTAATTACTTCAACTTACCCCCCCCCCGCAGTGGCACAGCGGTATGTCTGCGGACTTATACCGCTAGAAACCGGGTTTCGATACCCGTGGTGGACAGAGCACAGATAGCCTTCTTTGTGTAGCTTTGTGCTTAATAACAAACAACAACAATTTCAAATTACACACCACTTTTATTGATGATCTGTTGTGACTGAAACACGCTGGTTCTTATACTCATCGGTTTGTTTTGATTTAAGTCAAAGCTACACAATGTGAAGTGTACCCACCGCGATTTTAAGCGTAATAAGCCCTCAAGTTCATCGCAACCAACAACACTGCTTACATATGTTGTTTTCATAAAAATATATCTTTATTTTATTATCAGTATCTTTAGAACATGCAGAAGAACATGTATGTACTTTTGTACTGTTCAAGGATTTAACTGTATATTAAGACGAAAAGCTTTCGACAGTCCAGATTGTCCTACTTTCGGTGTCGTTTGATCTCATACACATCGACGAGATATTTATATATTTTAAATCGGACAAGCTATTCAAGTGACAGTATTTTGCGAGTCTTTACTTAATAAACGTATATTTTTTTTTCTGTTGACTTACAGTAGCTAGGTCACGGCGTGCACAAAGACACTCTATGGCTTGAGGGCATTGTTACTTGTATAATTTTGACAGGGACACGTGGAACAGAGGCTCGTGAAATTCCTTGGTTTAGACTCTCATTAGTTTGAATGGAACTTAATTCTGTAACAGTTTTATCTTCTAATGATATCTTAACATATAAATTATGAATGTCTAGACTCTATATCGCAGAAGGAGAGAGTTCAAATTACCGGAGACTATAACAAGCCATCGACATGGAGGTCTGACAGTAGGACACGTGTACCCGTTAATATCTTCAATTAGTTGAGCTCGTATCGAAGCCTGTAATATTATATATATATATATACAAATATTCAAAACCCGGAATAATAGGTAATACGATTTAAAAACTATATTTTTTTTCTCGGAATTCCGTAAGTTTGTACTCTTCAGTTGTTGAAATTTTTATAATGTATTTTATTTTATACGAGCTTTCTTTTACGAAAAATATAAAATATTTTCTTTAGTTAAAAAAATGGGGTAGGTAATGATGTT